CAAAGTGTTAATTTCATCAATGGATGGAATTCCATCAGGTTTTTCCACAAATCCCTATATAGCCGGCAACGTACTTGTAAACTTGTTTGGTGTTGCGGGAGTCCTTGCGCGGCACCGATTGCTTACCATCAGGGATCCGGCTACACGTTTGCCGCCCTATGCCATAAAACAAACTTAATAACAGTTCATTTGATTGCTATTATAGAAACACGCTGAAATGAATCGGGATTTCAAAATGCGTATTGGCCTACATTTTGAGCGCAAAATCTTTTATGGTAAATCCGTGACTAGGGTTGACAATAGTTTTATTGCTTTGCATGTTTAATGTTATTTTTAGGACTTTTCAATGTTCTAACGTTATTTTTGTCCTGTCGTTTTATTGTTTCGCGTGGCCATTTTTTCGCAACTATGTCAGCCTATTTTATTTAAACTGTCAAACACCAAGCGGTCACCGGTGACCGCAACCTATTGTTCTATAATTGTGTCTACAAAACCGGTACTCGACGAGTTAATAGACCAGTAAAAAAATTCGTCTCACACGAATAAGTCAAAAAATAATAATGCTTAACCTCTTGTCTGTTTGCTATAAGACATAATAGAAAACGCACTGTGTCTCGCATATATCTACGGCTTAAACTATTTGGTCAAAACTAAGTTCATGTAGTCCAAAGTCAAAGCATTTATTTCAATTAATCCTTAATTAGATAATATTGAAACGTCAAAAATTTATATGTCCGTTCGTCTGTCTGTCAATGAAGCTAGGTACTCGTACCGAAGTGTAGTTTCGAATGGAAAAGAACGAGCAAGAAACTCCATCGTTACTCTTTTAGTCCGTTCAGTAAAGTTTTCTTCAAAATACGTACGGTCAAAGGTCAAAAGTCCACTGCCACCGTAGGACTACTATCGGTTGCGCTGCAGCGCTTTTACACACATGCACACGCATATTTTTATCCGTGTGCGTACGTGTGCGTGTGTTTATGCGTACGCACACGTTTTTATGCACATTAATATGAAATTACTTACGCATTGCCGTGTGAACATAGTTATACTTATTCTATAACGAATGTTCTTGTTTCTTATTTACTTTGAGAGTGTGGTAAGATAAACTTGACTGCACGGTTGGTGCGGTGGCTGGGCAACTGGCTGCCGTGCAACGTGTCGTGGGTTCGATTCCCGCACGAGACAACACTTTGTGTGATCCACAAATTGTTGTTTCGGGTCTGGGTGTCATTGTGTATGTGAACTTGTATGTTTGTAAAACGCACCCACGACACAGGAGAAAATCCTAGTGTGGGGCAACGTTTATTTAAAAAAAAAAAAAAAAAAAAAAAAAAAAAAAAAACATCACTCACCACCGTGGCAGTGGACTTTTGACCTTAGACTGTACAATTCAGATTTTTTCCCAAAAAGACCAATACTGGGAAAACATTGGCCACCCCTAAGTAACTCGAGCGGTGCGACATTTGACTTTACGAGCGATTAAAAATGGTTGAATGGAAGTTATCGTAAAAACGCCATTTCCACGTTTTACGACGATTTAAGTCACTTTCATTTCGCAACGTTTATTTTGAACTGGATTCTGTTATTATGGACATAAAGTATGATTTCATTAACACAGCGAAACTAAGTTGGCGCTGCAATCGTATTGTTCGAGTGTCTTCATCAAAAGGAACCCCGCTGATACTATTAATGCTATTTCTTTAGACCCATTACATAGTTGTTTTATTTGTAATTGCCTATTTATTGGTTCGTTAGTTCAATTGTTGTCAATTTCATTGTAATCGAATTATTAAGTAATTACGATTTGTACGGAATTTGCAATGCGTGCCTTTGGAAATGAATTTGATTATGAAGTGATTTGTGTCATTTTTAATTCATTACGAACTTGATGTGGAAAAGGTGTTGCTTATTTCTTATTTAAGTATGGGAAAGCCATGCTTTGGCACGTACGGGCCGGCTCGACCAGAGCGATACCACGGCCTCACAGAAAACCGTGAAACAACGCTTGCGTTGTGTTTCGTCGTGTGACAGAGGTTACCGGAGGCCCAAATTCGTACCCCTCCCCTCGCCCCTCCCTAGTTTTCCTAATCTCCGAATCCCCCACAATACTCAAATTCCCAATTCCCAAAAGGCCGGTAACGCATTTGTAACGCCTCTGGTGTTTCAGGTGTCCTTGAGCGGCGCCGATTGTTTACCATCAGGTGAACCATCTGATAGTTTACCGGCTTACCACATAAAAAAAACTAGAGATAAGTCGGAAATAACTCACTGTTAATAATGCTCAAATTTGTTCTTTCTACATATCATAATGCCTTGTTCCCACTATGACAGTAATTTAGTCGAGTAGCGGGTATTTAGTAGTTCTGTTTCGCGCCTGTCCCGAAATCAAAGCGATATAGAACTACTAAATACTCAAGGCATAAATGTCCAAAATGTTCGTCAGCTGCATTTGCTGTATAGCTAGAAGATACCTACAATTCGTACACTACACTACTTATTCTGTCTTGAACATTTGAGTAAAAATAGGTGAGACGTTATAACAACATTAACCTTAATAAACGTAAACGTCTTCATGCAAGAATAAATTGCATGCGATTTTTTTCCCAAACGTTGACGGCGAATTTGCGAAAATCACCTGATGGAATTGGTTCACCCGCACTGTTCGGTCAAACGACCTGTGTACACGCGATACGTAAATAAAACGGTTAACCCTTTAACCGCCGACAACGTAATATTACGGTTTTCGAAAGCTGTGTCCGAATCGCCACATACGTACAATCACGTTATTTTATTAAAAATCTTCTTATAGTGCACAAACTCCATATAAAATGTGTCAATTTCAAGATGTAGGGTATAATCTTTATTGTTATGGATATTTCTCAATGTTTTGAGTGATAAATACTGTGAAATTTGAGGTTTAATTAAATTGTGGTCACCGTCTCCATTATCTGTATCGCCAATCACGTAATTTTACGAGTACTAGGGATGGGGCGAATTCGAAAAATACTTAATAGGTTGTCTAAGAACAAACAAGGCACTATAGATATTACTGTCACTATTTGCAATGAAAGTGTATACTTTCATTAGAAAATAACCATAGTGTTACTTTGATGCAAGTATTTGTACTAATTAAAATGTATTTAAGTTTAAAATTATTTAATATTTATAACAATAATATAAAAATTTCATAACGCAGAACCGCACTAGTGCGGACAATCGCCGGTCGCCATCATCGTAATATTACGTGCGGCCAAGGAGATTATAGCGCTGTATTGTGAGTTGCCTTAGCGCCGTCACCGTAAAATCACGTTAAACATTTATCACTCAATGCAACTAGTGTTGTAAGCCCTTTTTTGGGTTTTTGTTATTTCTCAAATAAATCAACACAGTCAAAACCAAATGTGTCCATTATGCAAAGTTAGAAGATGGTGACGCAAAAGTTTTTGATCAGAGACCAAGTGATCCACGAAATGAATACTTTGCATCTTTAAAACCTTTTGAGCTGGAAACCGTACTGTCGGAAATCCGCTCAGAAGTTTACATGAAATTATTAAATTTAATACGACATGCTCGTGGAGCATCGTCACCGTCGCCAGCAGGAGAACGGACGACGCCGTGCCCATTTCCCGAATACACATTTTCGTATACTTCGTTTGAAGATTGAAAATTTTTAGATTATTTATTAAGTAGGTAAATAAAACATTGATTTTAATTAATAAAGAATATATGCATCGATATTAAGTGTTCCCAACACTGTTCCAACTTATACCTAAAGTGACGTGGCGCTGGAGGTAAGTTGAAAGTTCAGAATCTTGGCGGTTAAAGGGTTAA